TCTGGTCTTAGAAAATAAATTTTTCGAATATTGAAAAGATTCCTTTTTGTAAGCATTCCATCTTATAATATGTAATGGGGGATATCATTTGACAAATCTAAACTTCTGGCATAGTGAGGCTATTTGTAACAGGATTTTATCCAGGGACAAATATATAGATGTAGTCATTTCCTCTAAAGTTGTTTGATATGGTTAGTATGGTTATTTGATGTAGTACACTTTGGTACATTTGATATAGTTAATAGGTATTTGTTTTCTAACGAATGTAGATACCAAGATTTTCTTAAAGAAAGGGAACACGGCTTATAAGGACTTAACTTTGCTTCTTCTCTCTCTTCTCTTATTTTCTCCCTTCCTCCATCCCTTCCTTTCCCCTGATGTTTAATTGGCTATAATGTTTTGGGGGTATTGACAGGTTATTTAGACTTGACAGTCTTCTCAAGTTACTGGCAGGATATACTGCTGAGTTTGCTCTTCTGAACTAGGAAAGGTGATTTTTTGGGAAAATTACATAATTTATGATTTAAAAGTAAGTTTTGACTTGAATTTAATAATTTGCTCTGAGAGAATGGAATAGCTTTTTATAATACAAAAGTTGAGTTTTTCTTTTTTTTCTTTCTTTTTTTTTTCTTACTGGCTTAAATCTTATGACTTGGGGAAATAAAGTTATGGTGTGTTGTAGTCTGACTCTAAATTGATAATGCTAGCATTTTTCTTCTCCTGGGGTTAAGATGAAAGGAAAATAATTGTAATAGCAGGGCAGACTTTTCTTTACTTCAGCTACAAGCTTCTGCTTTTCCTTAAAGTTCTGAAGTTACTTATCAAAAGTGTAGATTGTTTATACCAAAAATACAAACTTGTATTTTGTTTTTGAGGGACTATGGTGGCATAAAATCACCTGTTCACTTAGCAGTACTAGAACCTACAAATTTATCCATTCTCTGATGATTTTTGTACATTCTTTTTTTTTTTTCTATTTGTATGTGACAATTTTTTTGGATTGATTTTATTTTCATTATCATTATTATTTATACATTCAATCGCTATTATTATTATTTATATCTTCAATCGCTATACATCATTTAGATTGTAAAGAGACTTTACGCAGCATGATATACACCTCAGTCCAGCCCAACTGAGAATACTATACACATCCTCATCAACAGATAATAAACCGTATCTGTGTACCACAAATATCTTACCTCTCTATTTTTTCCCAAAATTTCCTTTCCTACATTCTTACCCTCCCCCATTCTCATTCCACTTTGTCTCTAGTGTCGATAACAATTTTTAATGCTTTTATGACCTCCAGTCTTTCAGTCTACCATAGAGTGGGGACAGTTGGTATATGTTAAGTGGAGACATACAATGTCTCTCCTTCATAGCCTGGCTTGCTTCACTCAGCAGTAAATCTTCCATATTCTTCCACTTTCTGTCAAAAGCCAGGGTTTTGTTGTTGTTGTTGTTGTTGTTGTTGTTGTTGTTGTTGTTGTTGTTGTTGTTGTTGTTGTTGTTGTTGTTGTTGTTGTTGTTGTTGTTGTTGTTGTTGTTGTTGTTGTTGTTGTTGTTGTTGTTGTTGTTGTTGTTGTTGTTGTTGTTGTTGTTTTATGGCTGAATAGTATTCCATAGAGTATATGTGCCAAACTTTTTCAATCCATGATTTTTGTACATTTTAACACTTTCTTTACACTTTTTTTTGTTTGGAGAGTTTTTCGAATAGGACGCATGTGCTTGCCAGAAAGAGAGAGAGAGACAGAAAGAGAGAAATCACCCCCCAGGGGGGATGGCCATGTCTCAGTCCCTTCTCCTCCATTCTCCTCTTGGGATCTTGGGCACGCACGCACATGTACCCAGCATGATTTTAAGCCACCAGGTCCAGAACTCAAACTGCAGTCAACTACGTGGGAGTCCAGCGACATAGCCATTATGCCAACTGCTGGTCCCACACTATCTTTACACTTTAATCTTGGTCTGTGCCTGTGAAATGTAAATTTCTGAATAATACTCACCACTTACTTGCCTCAGTGCACACATGAAGCAGAGAAAGAGAAATCAGCTTCAACAGGTTCTCATCACGCCACCATTCCCTTTTAACAGACCTTCAGTTTCTTAGGATATTGGATACACACACACATGCCCAGCATATTATTAGGCTGACTTGAGGATTAGAACCCACAGTCAGCCATGTGGCCTCCAGCATTGCAGTCCAGAACGCTAAGGACTGCACCGCATAGACTAGGTCAACGTTTCTTTTGTTAACTCCTTGACATGTTTTCAAAACTTTCAGCATCAGTCAAGCATTTATTAAAAGCATTACTAAAAGCAAACAAAAAAAACCCTAAATCGCTAACTATTTTCTTGTGACATATTAATATTTAGGACCAGCCTCATGGCTTAGTGGTTAAGAGAGCCAAATTTCACATGGCTGACCACACGCCTCAAATTCTAGCCCCAGAAGTTTAAAAAACATGCTGGATGCATCTTGCCATGTCCCAGATCCTAACAGGATGGAAAAATGGAGAAGGGATTGTGACATGACCAGGAGGACTGAGGTATAAGTGATCAAGAGGGACAGTGGTAGGCGATAAAGTCAGAGGAGGTAATAGGGCATAAGACAATACTGGGCCTTAAAGGCTCTTAAAAAACCTTTGACTTCTACTCTGAATTCAAGTTGCTTTTGCCATTATGGGATCTGACTTTCTATCCACAGCATTTAACCACTGTGCTACAGGGCTGGTCTACTAGGAAAAGTCTTTTTAAAAAAAAAAAAAAAGAAAAAGAAAAAAAGAATTATTTATTATTTAATTATTTATTTATGTAATTCATTCCATTTATTATCATTATTATTATTTTTAATTCAACCTTAGAGAGACAAACAGTGAGAGAAAGGAAAAGCAAGAAAGTAAGCCGCCAGGTCCAGGACTAGAACCACTGTCAGCCATGTGGGAATTCAGCTCCTTTAACCACCATGCCACCTGCTGGCCCTGGAAAATTCTTAATAGTAAAGTAGTAAAATAAAACTATCCCAAATATTAAAATATGTTACAAAACTAGAACATTAAAATAATGTGTTTACAGCAGTTGGTGTAATGGCTATGTTGCTGAACTCCCATGTAGTCGACCAGGCTTCGAGTCTTGGACCTGGAGGCTTAAACTCACACCGGGCACGTGTGCGTGCGTGCGTGCCCAAGATCCCGAGAGGAGACTGGAGAAGGGACTGCCGTGTGATTATCCCACCAGGGGGTGATTTTTCGCTTTCTGTCTCTCTGTCTCTCTCTGGTGAGCGCATGCGCCCTATAGCAAAAACCTCTCAAAAAAAAAAAAAAACCAAAACAATGTGTTTACTAGGGGCATGAGCAGGTAGATAACTGGACAGAATAGAAGCCCAGAAACAGATCCAAATATATGTAAATACTTGGAAAATTATAAAGATAACATTTTAAATGTGTGAGAAGAATTATTTGTTATATGGGACAGCCGGGTTGTCAAGAGGGGAAATTAGCTTAATTTCGACTTCTTACCTTTGACTAAAATTAATTCCTAATGAATCTAAGATTTAAGCCTGAAAAAATTAAGTACAAACCAGGATTTATATGCATTTTTAGTAAATGTCATTCTCATATTTCTGTATGCTCTCTTAAGTTAGGAGGAGTGGAAATTAATGATATTCAAGTGAATGATGTAAATCTGTCATGGGCCATGGCTGAGTTAAAGTATGCATTATCTTAGAATCCTAAATGACTTGGTATAGGAAAGAAGGCTGATAGAATGGACCATATCAGGTTCTGAGGCAAATACATTGGGTTTTAGTCAGTTAATGCTTTCCTTTCATCCTCCTTTGATACTTTCCAGGGCCAGGAAAGCAAAAGGTATAGAGAAATGCATTATTTTGCAAATCAGAAATATATTTAATATTCTTTCTGAAACTTGGTGTAACTGTGAGAAACTGAATCTCAGACCCAGACATTATTCTTTGAGGAAGTACTAAAGTGGCTGTTGAGTGAATGATTTCCTTCTAATACCCTGAGGGAAGTAGTGATTAAGATCTGTAAGAGCCAGTTGAGCAGCTTCTCTGGTGAAGTTTTTAAAAAAGGGAGAGTGGGGGCCCAGCAAGTGGCATAGTGGTTAAGACACTGGACTCCCACATGACCAAGCGCAGTTTTAGTTCTAGACCTGGCTGCTTGAAAATCACGCAAGGGCACTTGTGTGTGCATGCCCAAAGTCCTAGGAAGAGAAAGGAGAAGGGATTGCTGCGTGGCCATCCCCCGGTGGGGGATTTCTCACTTTACCTCTCACTATCTGTCTTTCTCTCTTCCTCACTCTCTCTGTAACCGATGGCAAAAACCTTAAAGAAGGAAGCATGAACAGAAAGACTAGATGCTTAGTTCATAAGAATAATTTTTTTAAAAGAATAAATTCATGATACAACTTTAGTAACTCTTATACCTGGAAAAAGATAGGAAGAAACTGTAGGTCTAAAACCCAGCAGAGGGCTGGCCCCATAGGGCAATGGTTATGCACTGTTCATTGGGAGCTGAATCCTGTGGTTTGGATCCCTGCTCCATCAGCTTCAAAAACACACAAGTAGTCTCTCTGTGTTTCTCTCTCTCTCTGGCAAGCACATGTGCCCTCTGGCAATTAAAAAAAAGAAAGGTAAAATAAAATAAAAACTAGCAGGAGGAAGAAGCAAGAAAGTTTAGTTGAGACTAGAGAGCATTAAAGTCAATATTAAGTATTTTTAATAGCAGATTAAATAAGATTTTCCTGGTATAATTCTAGTTCTGTTTACTATAACGTTTGTACTTGTGTATGTATGTACATTTGTGTATCAAAAACTGTTATCTTAAGATGATAGGAATTTGAGAAACTTTCATCTGTATTTTTAAACTTTTATGCAAAGAATACATATTACTGAAGAAATGAAAAGCTATTATTTGTTATAAGCACACAAACATACATAACATTTGTTGCTCTGTTGTGACGCTTTTTGTATTTTCTAGGTGCACCAGAGGCTCTCTTCCTGGCAGAATTTGGGAGTTGTTTATTGCAGTACTGTTGTGCCCTCTGATGGTGAGTTTTGCCAAATTCATTTTTTAAACTCTAGGGTTTTTTTTTTTGTTTTTTGTTTGTTTGTTTGTTTGTTTGTTTTGCGGTTGTTAGTTCAGTGTTGGCAATTCTCTACTGACATAAAACTTTAGCAGCCATGTTCTTTAACTTGAGGTAGACTCAGGGATCAGAGTGAGAAGGGAGAACTGGAGAAGGGAAATAAAATTTGGATGAAGATCTAATGAATTTAATGGAGAAACCAAAAGGAAAATTGAGTAGTCCCATCAAATCATCATAGGTCCCGGAATGCTGATTTATGATTTAAAACTGGGGACCTAGTTAATGTGGAGATCACAGATGCCTCATCTTGGGTGTTTGTTAACCACTGGGCTTTCAAATCATGATGAATGATCACAGTCTCAGCCTCCTCTTTGGCATCAGCCTAGAAGCAATTCAAAGTCCGAGACCTCCTGCCCTTGCTTGTCATTTCCTTCCCGCAGGCGCAGAGCGGTAATATTCTTCGTTGTGGGAACAGATGAACAGATGCTTGTGGACTACATATAATCCTTTTAAATGTCCACAATGCTACAAACTGGCATCAGAATCTAACTTTTGTTGTTTTTATAGTAATAGAGGGAAATGTGTTTACGACTATTATTGCCATTTCTCTTACTCAGTATTATATATTTACAGTTTGGGTTGCTTGACTTAGACTCTTAAATATGTTTTCCTGTGTGTAAAGTTTAGTTTGATAGAGCTCTAATTTCAATCACAGTATCCATTCATAGGCATAACAACCGTTGAAAGGGCATCCTACAAATTTACAAAGACACTTGAAAGTGAAGAAGTACACAAGATGAATCATAAAAGTTCTAGAATCTTGCTGTATTTAGTTTATATATTTGCAGTGTTATCAGAATCCACCCCCCCAAAGCTGTTTAGTTATTTGAAAATTTAGACAGTAGGGGCCAGCAGGTGGCATAATGGTTACATTGCTGAACTCCCATGTTATTGATCATGGTTCAGGTCGTGGACCCAGCAACTTAAAACTTATGCCAGGTGCATGTGCGTGTGTGCCCAAGATCACGAGAGACTAGAGGAGAGGGGACTGCAATGTGACCATCCTCCCTGGGGGATGATTTCTCACTTTCTATGTCTCTGTCTCTTCGACGAACACACACCAGAGCAAAAATCTCTCTTGAAAGAGAGAGGAAGGAAGGAAGGGACAGGAAGGGAAGGGAAGGGAAGGGAAGGGAAGGGAAGGGAAGGAAGGAGGGAGGGAGAGAGAGGGAGGAGGAAGGAAGGAAGGAAGGAAGAAAATATAGATGGTATGCATTGACAGATTGAGCACCTCTAACATGAAAATCTGAAATCTAGCATGCTCTAAAATCTGATACTTTTTGAATGCTGACATGCTGCCACAAGTTGAAAACTTACACTTGACCTCATACGATGGATGGGTCTCAGTTAAAATATTACAATATAAAAATGTTATATAAAATTACCTCAGGCTGTGTATCGGGTATATACAGAATAAAAGTGATTCCGTGTATGGACTTAGGTCCCATCCCCAAGATCTCTCATTATGTATCTACAGTATTCCAAAGTCCAAAATCTGAAACACTTTTAGTTCTGAAGATTTGGATAAGGGATATTCAAACTATATTTGCTGTCTTCTAAACATCTTGGATATATCCATATGTGGCTCCTTATTTGTAGTACTGAAAGGCTGAAAGTGAAATAGGCCAGAATCGAAACATGGAAAATAGTGGGGTGGCTTTCCTCCTCCTGCCTCATCAAGACATAAAAATTAAATAAATAGGAGTAGTATCAATTGATATGCCAATTTAAAAGTGGCACTTAACCCTTCGTTGTGACCAAAGGACAGATAAATGTGTTGGTCCTCCCACCTGCCCCCAGTCCAGACTGTTACCAGTACTAGTACTTCCCACGTGGCCGAGAGCCAGCGGACAATAATGCTCCTTACTCATGCTGCCTACTTCCTTCCCTCCTTAAACCCTTCCAGACCAGCAAGTTCTTTTCCCCCGACAGTGTTTCCGTCCACAGAACAGCCAAGCGAAGGCTGTCCACATCTATGCTAGCACCAGTCCCAGTTCTCACTACTTCCTTCATTACCACTAAGAGACAATTTCAGTATAAAAAATAATTTTTCAGGGACCAGCAGTTAGCATAATGGCTATGTCGCTGGACTCCCATGTAGTCGACCACTCGGACCCGGTGGCATAAAACTCAGGCCGGGCACATGTGCATGCATGCCCAAGATCCCGAGAGGAGTACGGAGGAGAAGGGATTGCGGTGTGGCCATCCCCCTTGGGGGGTGATTTCTCGCTTTCTGTCTCTCTGTCTGTCTCTGTCTGGCTGGCAAGCACACGCGCCCTATAGCAAAAAACCTCTCAAAAAAAAATAATAATAATTTTTCATAGTGCTGAATCTGCTCTGCTTTTGCTGAACAAATAGTATTAAATTTTAAAAAGTTCTAGCCTTTACAATATTGTTTGACATTGTTGCATATTCAGTGTCAATATGTATCAGTCAGTTTTACAGGGTCAAAATCAACCAAGACACTACAACGGGAAACTCAAGTACAAGTTGTTGTGGTGATATTCAATGGCAATAAATGAATCTGTATTGGAATTTGTATTAATTTTACCATTTAATGCAAATACTATTATTCTGAATGCCAATCCATATGAAAATATTTCAGTAGCTTAACAGTGGAACAATTATATGGAAGTATCTGGCTGGATGTTATCTAAGTGCTAGTAGATTGCCCTTGCATTGCATGAGAAATTGCAGGTCATATTTTTACAAAAACTAAAAGGATATCAATGCTTCCTTATGATTTTTCTATAACATTTTCTTTTCTCTAGCTTACTTTATTATAAGAATACAGCATATAATATATATGACCTACAAACTATATGTTAATGTTACTGGTAAGGCTTCTCTGATCAACAGTAAGCTATTAGTAGTTAAGTTTATGAGGAATTACATGATAACCCAAATTTTCAACTGTACAGGGTGTTGGTACTCCTAACCACCACCTTTTTCTAGGTGGTTATGTAGATTATCTTAAATGTTTAGCCTCCCTACTAAAACATGTTTCTTCAATTTTCTTGTGTGGACTCATAAAATTCAGTCATTCCTAGGTACATGTGTGGGATGCTCAGTTTCCGTATGCGTGATGGATGGCCTAGTGTTTGCATCTAACCTCAGCACATCCTTATCTCTAGATTACCTAATACCTGACACAATGTTAAATACTCTGTGAGTAGCCGTTAAGCTGTATTTAGGTAGTAATAATCAAAAAAGGTTTTTGAACATTTCCTACCTGTGTTCATTGAGTCTGCTGAAGTGAAGTGATATGGAAAGCTGTCTTTTGCTTTTGGCTTATTTTAGATAGCATTTTTTAAAGGTTTATCCATGTTGTAGCATGTATTGTCGTTATTTTAAAATTTATTTATTGCCAGATACTATTGCAGTATCTAAAAATATTACATTGTGTTTATTCATTCACCAAATGAGGAACATTTGGATTATTTTCCACTTTGGGCTTTTAACAATAACAATGCAAGGGTCAGTAGGTAGTGTGGTGGGTAAGGTGCTGGATTCCCACATAGTTGACTCTGGGATTCAAGTCCTTGACCTGGCAGCTTGCAAATCATCCTGGGCATGTGTATGTGCATGCTCAAAATTACTGGAGGAGAAGAGATTGCAATGTGGCCATCCCCCCAACCCCCTGCAGGATCGGTAATGTCTCACATTTCCTCTCTGTCTCTCCAGCGTGCATACATGCCCTATGATAAAAACCTAAAAAAAAAATTTTTTAAATAAATGGTGCTGCCAATTTTTGGGCATAGTCTTTGTGTGCACTGTTTCCATTCCTCTTGGGTAGATATTTAGAGAAATGACTGGCTCACATAAAAATAGACTTAACTTTTTTATATATATTTTATTTTACTTTATCATTCATTTATTTATTTCAATTTGACCAGAGAAGGATAAAGAGAGAGAGAGATAAATCTGCCAGGTCCAGGACTCGAACCGCAGTCAGCCACGTGGGAATCCAGCACCCTTAACCACCAAGCCACCTGCAGGTCCCAAAACATGCTTAACTTTTTAAGAAATGGCAAACCTGTTTTCCAAAGCATCTGTACTACTTTGTTCCCATCAGCAATGCTCAAGTGTTGTCGCTTTGCTGCATCCACCCCACCCCTTGGTATGATTAATCTTCTTGATTATAGACACTCCAGTGGATGTGTAGTATTTTTTCATTGTGGTTTTAATTTGCATTTCCCTGATGACTAATGATACTAAGCATCTTTTCATGTGCTTATTAATCTTTATAATATCCTCATTGGTGAAGTGTCTCTTCAAACTTTTTACTCATTTAAAAAGGTACTATTTATCTTCTTTTTATTGAATAACAAGGGTTCTTTATATATTCTAGAGTTTTTCCTGTTACTCTTTTTTAAATTGCCAGAGGGCATGTGCAATTAAATTTAATTGCCTGAGAGAAGCAGACAGAGGAAGAGAGGGAAAAAGCACCTCCCAGTGGGATGCAATTCTCTCTTCTCCATTTCTCCATCCCGTTAGGATTTGAGGCATGCATACACACACACACCTGGCCTGTTTTTCAAGTCACCAGGGCCAGGATTTGAACTGTGCAGTCAACCATGTGGGATCCAACTCCCATATCAACAAGGCCATGGTACTTCCTATTACTTTTTCAAATAGTTTTGGGGGAAGAGGGGAAAGATTTTTTTTTGAGTGAAGTCATATCACTAGTGACCATTGTACCCTTTGGTGATACCCATCATATTGAGGACATAAACATACTCCGCCACTATATAATCTTTCATTCCAACTTTAAAAAGATTCGGCAACAAAATGAAAATGAAAATTATGAAGCTATTTATTCACCAAAGATAATAGGACAGAGAGGGTCTCAGTGTTTTAATGTGGCAGGGCTCTCACCAACCTAAGCATGAAACCAGGAAAAC